GGAGTTTGAGGTTGCTGTGAGCTAGGCTGAAGCTACGGCACTTGAGCCCGGGCAACAGAGTGAGACTCTGTCTCAGAAAAAAAAAAAAAATTGAATGGTTTGAAAATGTAACTGATCAGTCCATGAAGTACGTAAAGAAAGCAGGGGCCAGAAACAATGAATCCTAAACACAAAATCCTTTTGTGAATCCAGAAGCCTAAGCAGAGAGCAGCTGGATATGCATTTGCCCTCGACTCCTGTAAAGTTAAATTATTTTGTAAGAAATACATTTACTCTTTGTTCCTGGTTCTGGACACAGAGCTCCTAAAACCCTTGAAATTTCCCAAGTGATAGAAGTGTATTTTGTTATTTATATGGGCCCCTTTTGGATCCTACCTGAGTTTATGCTAATGAGGTGACTTAGGGCAGGGCCTCCAGGTGGCCTCAGGATGGGGCTGGTCACCAGAAGGATCAAGTGTTTAAGGATCACTCTGGTTGGAACTTTTAGCCTCATCCACTGACCTCTGGGAAGGGAGTGAGTGTACGCTGGAGATGGAGCTCTGTAAATGCTCTTGAACAAGAAGATGTGATGAGCTTCTTGGTTGGTGAACAGCGTTGGTGCTGGAGGCTGGGTTGTCCGGAGAGGACGTAGAAGCTCCACCCCACCCCATACTTTGCCTTGTGTATCTCTCCTATTTGCTCTTTCTGAGTTGTAGCTTTTATAATAAATGAGTAAACATAAGTAAAGAATTTCACGGAGTTCTGTGAGCCATTCTAGCAAATCACTGAACTTAAGGAAAGGTGGCGAGAACCTTGATTTATAGCCGGGGTCCGTCAGAAGTACCGGAAGCCCAGACTCGCAGGTGGCACCTGGAATGGGGCAGCCCTGTGGGACTGAACCTTCACCCTGTGGGATCTGGTTCGGGTAGACAGTGTTGGAACTGAACTGAATTGTAGGACACCCCGTGTGTATTGGAGAACTGATCAGTGTGGGGAAAAGAATCACAACATTTGGCATCAGAAGTGTTCTGTGTGAGAGTGTAGAGAAAGAGTGTTTTTCTCAGTCACTGTATAATTTATTGTTTAAATGAGGGAGTGCCATCATGAACTTCACAGGAACAAGTTAAATCGAAGTTAGGTAAAACATACACACACACACACACACACACATACACACATATATGTAATCATTGTGTTGAAATGCTATGTGTAGGACTTTGAGCCCCAACAGGAAAAAAAACTGTTAGAAGACCCTCCCATAAAGTCTGAATCCGTGAAGAGTAATACCCTCAGTGTATCAACAGTTAATAAAACTCATAGTATAGAAGACAGCAGAGATTGTTGTCTGTTTCATCCTTGGTTTTAGGTGGAATGAGAATATTCTCTCCTGAGAATATCTCATTTTAAGCCTAAATTTATATTATTTGGGGGGCTAAAATGACATGCATGGTGACAAAAATAGAAAGAAAAAAAAAGAAAGTTTGCCAGGCACGTGACAGAAGCAAACACAAATCTGATCTGAAGTATACTCTCAAAAACAAGCCTTCAGAATTTTTTAGGAGAAGTTTCAATGAAAATGAGTTCTCACTCGGAAATCACTAAACACACAAGAAAATAAGCTGCCCTGGGAAAGGGCAGAAACTGCAGGCTATAGAATTACATCCCAAAGATTGCAGGTATTGAACCCATCCGATATAAAACATATGTAAGTATCTTTAGTATGTGTAGAAATAGAAAAGAATATTGAAAGTGGGATGGAGGAACAGCAGATTCTTAAAGAAAAAGTAGCCGTTTGGGATTAAATAGTATTTTTAGAAGTGAGAAGTATAATTATTGAAATTAGAAATTAAATGTGTGAAGCAGTACATTAAACCTTTCTGAAGAGAAAATTAAGAAACTGGAAGAGGTATCTGAAGAAATTACACAAAATGCAACACAGAACAAAAAGGAGAAAAACTGAGAGAAAAGTTAAGAAATCAGGATATGTCTCATCAGACTATCAGAAGGTGATAAAAGAGAAAATTGGAATTGAGGCGTATCTTCAGTGTGCTGAGAGAAATAACAAGTTGTGTACCTAGCAAAGCGATTTTTCAAGTGTAAGAGAGGAATATTCAGAGCAGCAAAATGAAGAGAATTTACCACAGACATAGAAACTTTTAAAGGATTGCCAACCTCAGTAACAAACAGAGAGCAGAGCTATAAAAGAAAATGGTGTTTATTTGAGAAGAACATTGCAATGGGAACACACGTGCCATAGGAAAGTATGTGCGTGTTCAGGGGGGTAAAGGAAGACAAAATTTTTAAAGGAAAAGGAAGGAGGATTATGTAATTATTTTAGGATAATTATCTTTGGCTATAAGGATCAATAACAAGGGTGACACCAGTCGGAGGTTAGACAGGCAATCGCTGGGCAGATGTCCTCACAGGAGTATTATTTTGTTTAGGGTTGTGATGGTCTTTGTGCAAGGTTTTGGGTTTTGTAGTCTTTGATGACTGTTTTTTATTAGATATTTATGCAGGAAAACCCCCGTCATGGCCTTCCCAGCTCTATTTGTCAGAGGTTTTAAAACACAAATGACTCCATTTTGATTCTGACAACTTTCATTTCCCTGGCTTGATCAAGATCTTTCTTGGAAAGCATCAGCGCTGTATAATTTTGTAGTTAGGTTTTGATGTCTCTGGAAAGCAG